GTATGACCTTAGACATTTACATAAACCAGTCCTATCATCATTTTTTAAATCCATCTGTAAAATGGGGATAGGAGTACCTACCACTAAGGGTTGAAAGAGTTAAGTGAAATCCCTACATGTAGAGTTTAACACAGGAGTTGCTCATAAACAGTAGCTATTATTTTGTTAGCAAATTCTATATATGAAAGTAGACTGGGGTAGTATTCAATTTTACAAATATAAATCATGATAATAACAATACCAAAGGTATTCTGGTTTACAGTTTACAAAGTATGCATGTAGAATTTTTTTTAAGCAGTAATCTTTCTGAAGACATAACCGTATATTTAACAAACATTCAACATGTACACTTCTAAAGTTATTGAAGAAAGAAAATTATTGAAGAAGATTTCTTTTAAAATAGAAATGTTTCCAACTCATTAGAGTGTTTGCTTTATTTTGTTGTGAATTTTAATTCTATTCGTGATTATTGGATTGGGCTTTGAGGCTTAAAATAATGTGCCATTACATTCACTCAACTAAAATAGGCAGGGTAATTAGTATGAAGTGGTGCGTAAAATTTTTGAAAAAAAAATTGAGGAATAAAGAAACTGAGTTTTTGTCAAGTAAGAATATCAGTGACATTGATTAATATTGTTTTACTATTCTTTTCTGATTTAGTCTGCATAAGAAACAAAACTTCCATGACTTAAATGTGGAAAGAAGATAGTAAAAATTAAACTTATTTAGCAAATAGCCTTTTTAGCTGATGAAAATTCTGTTGAGTTATTTAATTATAAGTGATGTGGCTCTCATGGGAAGGTAATCATTTTACAGTTAAACTAGTTAAAGGCAATCCACAAAGTGAGTCAGTCTCAGTGATACAGGTCTGTGTCTTACCTGTGCGAGTCTGTGTCTGCTGATCTTGCCAATAAGAGCTCTAAGAAACCTAACTTCAATGAACTAAGTGGTGGTATTTTGCAGGAGCCATCACAAAATGTTGTTCTGTGTGTTTATTAAATAACAAAACACAAGGATCATTTCCTAATTTGGTAAGTGTGAAACAGATGAGCCCAAAATGTTAAATATTCTTCCTAAGAATTATAGTTTGTGTTACCTAAACTTAAACATAAAATGTGAATAATTTTTGTGCATAATATAATTATTCCAGTTGAGAATTTAAAATATTATTTTGGTACATCCTTGAATTTTTTTCATGGAATTAAAGAGCACTACATCTTTATTGGACTTCTGCTCTCGCTTGGGAAGAAATAGTATAGAGTAAGAGAAGGCATTTTTAAAAGTTTTGCGAAACAAAGTGGAACATAATTAAATAATGAGGATTTACAAGTAACAAAAATTACAGAATGGGCTTTAAAATGTAAATATACAGGCAGAGAGTATAAAACAGTTAATAATTTCTAAAATATGAAACCATAAATCCTTGGAAGGACTTAGCACAAGCACCATGTTTGTTTTTTGTTTTATTTTTGCCTAGTCAATAACTTCCTAAAATTATTATTTTAATTTGATTACAGATTCTTCTTTTATCATTTATCTTTTGGACATGGGAAAACATACAGGACTGAGAAAAATTATGAGCTCAATTTTGCATGAAAAATTTAGCAGGCTGGAATAAAAAGGACATGCCTAAGAATCAAGTAGAGAGAGCATATGTTAGCTGGGTAGTTTTTGTTTTGTTTTGTTTTGTTTTGTTTTGTTTTGTTTATGACGGACTTTCACTCTTGTTGCCCGGGCGGGAGTGCAATGGTGCGATCTTGGCTCACTGCCACTTCCAACCTCCTAGGTTCAAGTGATTCTCCTGCCTCAGCCTCATGAGTAGCTGGGATTACAGGCATGTGCCACCATGCCAGGCTAATTTTTGTATTTTTAGTACAGATGGGGTTTTGCCATGTTAGGCCGGCTGGTCTCAAAATCCTGACCTCAGGTGATCCACCCCCACCTAGGCCTCCCAAAGTGCTGAGATTATAGGCATGAGCCGCCACGCCCAGCCTATTAGCTGGGTAGATTTAAGAGAAATTATGGAAGTTCCTTCCTGCAGATAACAAAGACATGTGGTAGAAGTCTGCCAACAATTTAGGGAGCTAAATCAAACTTCTTGGTTCTCACTCCTCGAATCTACCATCAGTCTCTGATTGACTGTGAATGGATTTAGATCTTCAAACACCTCAAAACAGGTGAAGAGCTTTAGAGCTTCACCAAATGACAGAACCCAGGTGTATGTACATGCAGCTAATTATATTTGTTATTTTTTCCAGTCTTATTGTCCATTGTCTTAGTGACTTTATGAACATAAAAATATTGCATAAATAGTAAAGCTGGACACAGATCTCTGTACTGAAGAATTAATGCCCAAATCACTTAATTGTTACTTTAATGCATTTCTGTAATAAGTCCAGCAAAGCATGTTATTATGTGCCATTAGAATTACAAACAACTGTGAATACTAGAATCACAACAAACAAGTGAAAAAGTGAAAAGCATGGAAACTAATATTTCCAATTTTGCTATTATTATGGGTAATATATACTAATTCTCTGTGTGTAACAAAATAAAAATTATCTGAAATATTATTTCACTTTTAAACCCTTTTACAAATAATGCAATATGTCAATAAATAAACATAGAAGTGGAAAAATAAATAATGAAGAATGAAGGTCAAATAAAGTAGACCCTGAATTACAAATAACCAATAGTAAACAATCTATACATTCATTGCCCACCTTTTTCATGATCTGAAACTTTTCTGTAGCTGCCATGACAGTCATTGCAAAAAAACAAAAATAAAAACAAAACAAAAAAAACCTACTTTTTTTTTCCTTTTTTTGAGATGGAGTCTCGCTCTGTCACCCAGACTGGAGTGCAGTGGTGCAATCTCAGCTCACTGCAACCTGCAGTTCCTGGTTCAAGCGATTCTTCTGGTTCAGCCTCCTGAATAGCTGGGACTGCAGGCACGTGCCACCATGCTGGGCTAATTTTATATTTTTAATAGAGATGGGGTTTCACCATGCTAGCCAGGCTGGTTTCAATCTCCTGACCTCAGGTTATCCACCCTCCTCGGCCTCCCAAAGTGCTGGGATTACAGGCATGAGCTACCAAACCCGGCCTTTTCTAATTTTTTATGATGGCTGTATTTAGTGTTCAGAAGTAGAGAAAGGGGCAAGCTGTGAAAATACATAGTGCTTAGGGGATTGAATCTCACCACAGTCTGCCTAGAATGTAACCTTGTTAATAAATAATACTTTCTCCAATATTGACTGTTTAAAAACATGACATCATAAACAGAAACAGTGCTTTTTCACTTCATTATATTTCCTGAAGATATACTTATTAAGGATTTTTTCAGGGGCTACTAAGTACTCTTTTCACAAAATGCAAATGCCTACCAGTGTTGGGGAGGGGAGCGGTCTTAAAAGTTTACATTTTAGTATGAACAGATTCAACTGTATTGTTCAAATAGCTAAAATTAATTGCACTGAGAGATTTGAATTTTTTCCCTTATACATTTTCAGGTGTAGAATAAAGGGATGGGCCACACAGGCCTGAGGAGGGGCAAAAGGAACTAAGGATGGAGTGCAGGAAGGAGGCTAGGAGGATACCACTAAAATTCATTTGGCCCATACGGGGAAAGGAGGAAATACTTTCTTTGATGATGCAGAATGATTCCTTAAGGACTGAGACACAATCTAGTAGTAGCAGTGCTTGTGTTCCTATGATATGGTTTCACTTAGGTGAGTTACCCTGGGAATCTGTTATTGATTCTTTTTACATATTTGATATTTTATACATAATATTTCTTATATAGAAAACTATGTCTTGGATAACTTGCAATCATCTGACACTTAAATCTTTGGAGTACTATCCATTTTTGGATAGGACAAACGTAAAGATCAACATCTGAATGTTTAAAAAGTCAGCTGTCATATCCAAGAAAACACATTTCCTTGCAATTTAGTGATAACACTGAATAACCTTTATTTTGTAGCATTTGGAAGGACTTTGCTTATCAGATGACACTTTCCTCTATAGCACGTATTAGATATTTTTAGAAATGCTGGCAATATACTTGCAAAGTCCATCTATTAGATAAAGACCAACTTTAATAAGTGACAACTACAAATGAATAATTCTTTTAGAGTCCAAGACCTTTGATGCCATATTTTCAAAATTAATAATTTTTTAAATTTTAACAGAGTTGAGCAAGTACTTGGTAACAATTACTTTGTGCTTATAAGCATTACATATTATTGAATCTTATAAAAATGCAAACTTTCTAAAATAGCCTGATGGTAGTTTTCATTAAGAATTTGACGAATTATCTTAATAGACAAGTTTTCATAATGTGCTAACATTTTGAATAATTGACAATGCTTTTAAAAGGATTTATAATTTTTTTTCTTTAAAATTCTGTACTTTATTATTTCCAATAGGTACCAGTGAAACATATTTAGTACAGGTTTTTACTTTTCCTTCTGAAGGTAATTTTTTACTTTATATTTAATTTTTAAATACAAAGACATTTTAAAATGATATCATATACAACTTAGACTTTTATGTACTTTTATACTGAAACAGTTATCAAAAAGCTTTTATAAAAATGGATATAAATAATATCAAGTCGTTATAAATTTAATTAATTGAAACCTGTGATTGAAAATGTGGACACTTCCAGAAAAGTTTCATGTAAAAATCTATCATATGAAATGAATTATTAAACATAATGTCAAAGGTTTAATGTGGAAAAATATTTGTCTCAGGAAAATAATCCTGATTCAACATTATAGTCCGAAGTTCATATTTAACTCAAAATATAAGGAAGATTAAGTGATTCTCCGAACACCAGTGAGAAGTGTGTAGAAGACGGAGGTCACTCTTTGAAAGAAGATCTCTGTGACCTGTGTAAATTAGAGCCCCACAAACACTTCCAACAAGCATAGGTCAGAATAGGGTCATGGCTCCAGGCCCTCTGGACCACAGTTCGCCCACAGGAGTGTGCTCACCGCGTTAATCTCTCGTCCTTCAGTTCCAGGTCTGCCACTGTGATGAGCTGATCCAGCTTGAATTTAGTGTCAATAATTTCTGCATCCCGAGGAGAGTATGTGCCACCTTCTTTTTGCTTCTGTCGAATTCTAAAATAAGTGGAGTAAAGTCCAACAAGGGAGTTTCATAGAAAGTATATAAAATTAGGTTTAGTTTTCTTTTTAAATAAAGACATTTAGTCAAATAATTTCTTTGTTAAAATCACCTCTCTGAATATGTTACAAATTTATAGCTACTCGACTTCTTTTTCTTGTTTTAATTCCATAGAACCTATTCTACTTTCTTTTTTTTTTCTAATAAGTTATTGGGATGGAGTTCCAAATGATTAGTTCATGAAGCCCTGAGTCATTGGTACATTTAAATATAGAGCCAAGAAGACCTATGCTGTGATCTTGTTTCTCTTCTCTCTAGCTACCTCATTGATTTGTCACATAAAGGAACTATGCCAAAGTGAAAATAGCTCAATGCTATCAATACTAGTGCTAACAGATAATGCCCCATTGTTTTCACATATATGAAATATTTTTACATGCATGAAAATACTTAAAAATTATTTTCAAATCATCTTATTGAATTTTTATAAAAGTATTGTGAGTAGATATTATCTTTATAATCAGAAAATTTACGTTCAAAAATAAAAGTCACATGAATCTGAGAATCAAATCAGATTCTTTTCATCTTAAGCCCTTTACATGCTTATTTCTCCATGACACAGTATGGTATATTACAAAGTAATGTTTAGCTAGTCTACCTTTCACATTTCAAATATTTAGTATTTATTAAGAGTTGGGTATCAAGGATGATATAGAAAGTATAAAACATGTGTTCTACCCTCAAGGACATTACAATTTAGTTGAGAGGCCAGATTTAAATGCAGAAAAAAACATAAAAAGAGAAAAAAGATTCAAATTACAACTCATAAGACAGTGCCTGATTAGTTACATAAGTTATAGTTATTATTACTTAGAGGAGGTAAAGAAGCAGAATTTGACTTGGATGTCCTAGGATGAGAAGGAGGAGGAAGCACATTTCAGGTTGACTGAACAAAAGCAGAATGTATAAAAGCCCAAGGAATGTTCAAGTGAGAATAGATCCCTTTAGCTAGTGAGTAGGGAAGTTGTAGGGAATAAGGAGGACCATTTCCTGCTTACATAAGGAGTTCATCTTGTAGAGAAAGGAGAAGTCAGAGAAGAGTTTACAACAGGGAAATTATATAAATGTGGCCAGTCCATACTCCTTAGGGACAAGGCCCATATTTTACACAGTATAGCATTCAAAGTGCCTAGAATGATAACTCTCTCACTGTCTTCTGGCTAAATCTGCCAACAGTATGTGGTATAGAGAAAGTATCTTTTTCAAGAGCCTTTCAAATTATCTATTAAAATTATGCTTTAAGAGCATCTAGATGAACCATAATACATAGCATTTAGAATACAGAACTACACTCTTCAGCTGAAATAAAAATGGTCTGTTGAACTATTTAGGAAATTGGTAGAAAGTTTATTTTACAAATATAACATCACTTTAACTTGGCAATCTGCCTTATTAAGCTAGATTTTGAGGTCAGAAGTAAGATTTCCAATGAGGCCTTGTGAATAATAAGGGAATTAGAATACTGATACTGAGAATGGAAAGATACACTTGGAAAATTCAACACAGGCATGTTCACAAAGTAAGCCTGAGAAGAGGGTCTACCATATAAGGAAGCTGCACATTTTACAAGTGTTGTTCTAACTGTAAAAAAGATCTCTTTCTGTATAAACTTTAATATTTAGACCTGATTGAGACATTTTAAATTAAACCTATCAGAGTTATAAATTACTTTAAAAGATGTAGATGGCCTGAAAGCTTCTGCTTTTGTGTTTTCACCTTGTTGTCTCACATCTCCAAACCTCCTCTTGTTTGCTGTGCTCTTTGATATTGGAGCTGGAACCTACATTTCTCTTTTGCCAGCTGACCGAATGTGAGGTTTTGTCAATAGAGGGCACTAGAGTGACCCTGAGAGGCAGTAGCAAGAGGAAAACACTGCCCTTGTGGACCCAGTCCTGCATTATTGTTATTCATTGCGAGAGCCCAGCAGCTCACTTGGATGAGCTGTTGTTGCCTCTGAAGTGAATGTTCTGCCCATGCCATTGGTGAACGATTCACCTACACCATTCAGCAAGAATGGGATGCTTCTATTACCAATTCCAGCCTGCCTACCATCTAATAATGATGGGTAGCTTCTACGGAACAGCTCCAGCCCCTTCCCTCTCTCATATTTCTTTGCTCACTGGTAAGTGATAGGTTGCATGTGCTCGCAGTAGCGATTCCATGTAAGTCTTGGGAGACAACTTCTTTCAGTTCTAGTTGTTTACTGTCCTCTCTCCCTCAAGTTAAAGAGAGTAGATAGGTTGCATGTGCTCGCAGTAGCGATTCCATGTAAGTCATGGGAGGTAACTTCTTTCAGTTCTGGTTGTTTACTGTCCTCTCTCCCTCAAGTTAAAGAGAGTAGCTGCTTTGTTGTGCTTGCTATTTCTGGACTCTAAGATTTCTCTTTTACTCTCTTGCGTAGTTAGCCATTTCTGCTAGTTAACAGTTCTTTATATTAAATGTTTTCTGTTCAAATAGCAGGATTTCTTGCTTTTTATGGCTAGATTTAGTGAATCAACAATGCATACACACTTTAAAGTATATTGTACATGATAAATACATTTTTATCTGTCTATTAAAAATATTAAAAATAAAAATGTTTCCCATTCAAGTAATTGTTGTGGCTTCTGTCTCCTGATTGGACTATGACTGATATAATGCCCATAAAGCATCCTGGAATATAAGCACAAATAAATCTTACCTTGCAAATGCAAAAATAGCTGTTCCAAGGAGAATTATTGAAAGGATACACAAAGTGACAGAAAGAATGATCTCTACGGTTCTTTCTGAAAGTCCTTCCCCTGGAGAAGAGGGATAACATGATCATTAAATATTATTATGGAATCCTATCTTGGATCCCAAACTACCAAAAAGCATTATCTTGGCATAAGAAAATATTCTTTGCTGAAGAATACTAGTAAAACGTAGCAAATTGTTTGTTCCTCTTCTCCTAGATTTTTTAACTTTGGGGCTCTGTCCTGGGTCCTCTTGTTTTTTCTATCTAAACTCACTCCCAGTGTGAGCCCATCTAGTCTCCCAGTTTTAATTTCATTTATGTGATGATGACTGCTTAGTTTTTATCTACCAGACTTCAGACTTACATATCTAACTGTCTACCAGACGTCTTTATTTTGAAGTATACTTAAAATGTTAAAATCGATATGTCCAAAATTGAACATGTACACTTCCCTCCTTTCCCCTGTATCCTCCCACCTCTCAGTTGATGGACACTCCATTACCGTAGTTGCTAAAGCCAAAACCCTGGAGTCATCTTTGACTCTCTTTCATGGAATACATTCAAAACATGTGAGGAAATCCCGTAGGCTCTATCTTCAACATATTTGTACTTTTCACCAAAGAAACCATGTAACCTTGGAAAGATGGTAATTGCAAAGTGGGAGTAAGGAACAAAACCAATTCAAGACATATAATGGTGCTAGAGATCTAGGAAGCTAACAAAAGGCTACTGGTATAAAAGGAACAAAGGATCCTCCTGAAGGGGCTCCTACTGGCCAAAGAGGAAAGAACTTAAGCCTTATATTGAATAAAAATGGAAACTGATTGGAAATAAAAAATATTATTATTTAATAAAAGATATAAAAATAACAAAAATACTGATTTTAAAAAAACTTTTATCTTAGATTCGGAGGCCACATGTGAATGTTTGTTATATAGATAAACTCGTGTCACAGGGGTTTGTTGCACAGATTATTTCATCACCCAGTTATCAATCCTAATACTCAATAGTTAAAAAAAATACTAATTTGTAAACTCTGGCTATAACTAGACCATCTCCTTGGCCTAAATATTCTTGATTAATTTGTAATTGAAATGTATATTTTTCTGCCTTTCTTATCTGAACTGTATTTTATGACTTTTTAAAAATAGCCCTCGTTAAGGAGATAAAGCTCATTATTAGAAGAGAATTTTGTTGAATAACTGATAAAGGAGAGATAAAATTAAAAATAATCAGTATTTCTAATGAAACAGTTGATTCAGGTAACAAACATAAATGTATTCTAAAATGATTAGGAGGAAAGTTAATGGGGAATTGGACATTTATAGCATGACAAAATATCACTGTATAGATTATTTGCTGGTTGTAAGTGGTCAAAACCAACTTTTCAATGGAGTATCATGCTGTTGCTGCCACCAAGCCTACTGATCAATTTTAGCATCACGTGTAACAATCAGATATTCTACACTTCCTGATGGAAGGTATTTTGATCTAGTCAGCAAGACCTATAATGTACTTCTGACAGTAATGTTGACTGTGAATACTCAAACCTTTAGTTCTTATTTCTAATTTACAAGAAAGTGGCAGAAAGAAAAAAAATTAAAGGACATCAAGAGAAAACAACCAGACAGATCCAGAATATGGGACTTCCTACATGACAACTTACCTGATTTCTTCAGTGAGTCTATGACATAGGGGGAAAAGAAAGGAGAAAAGAAGGCTCTTTAAAAAAAAATAGAAGAAACAGAACAATCAAAGATAATGTGCAAATTCTTATTTGGATCCTGATTCAAATAAATTAACTATAAATAAAAAAATCAAAGGGTGATTTGAAAACGTATATACAAGTAGCTTAAATAATACTGATAACTTACTAAGTTTAACCACAGCAATATAATAAAAATGTACTTATTAGAGAAACATACTAAAGTATTTAGGAGTGCAATATGCGTTCTGTGACTTACTTTACTTCAGAAATAAGTGAACAAATGCCTAAATAAAACAAATGTGGCAAAATGTCAATTATTATTAAATCTAGTTAGTAGGTATTTGGGGGTTCGTGACACTATTTTTTCTACTTTTATGTATGTTCCATTCACTTTGCTCCACCTTTGCTGCTAATAACCTGATCTAGGCCACCATCCTGTCTTGCAGAACTAAAAACTTAGCAAGTCTCCCTGTATCCACCTTTGTCCTTATTCCGCCTATTTTCAATATACAAGCAAGGACAATCCTTTTAAAATATTATTTCTCTGCTTAAAATCCTCCTCATCTCTCACCGAGAAAAGCCCATATCCTTTCAGTGGCCTGTGTGATCTGGTCCCTCATTAACTGTCTGGTCCCCTGTTACCCCTCTGATTTCCCTTCCAGTCCCCACCTTGCTTGCTCACTCCTAGGGGGCCAGATTAGCCTCCTTAATGATGAATAACACAAAGCCATTCTTGACACAGGGCTTTTGCAGCAGCTTCTTCCTCTGCCTGCAAAGGTGTGTATCCCTTGTATATCTTTCTGGGTAGCCACTTCATTTCCTTTAAAGGTTTGCTGAAATACGTTCTCGATGACCATCTGTTATAGTGAATGCTATACATGCTGAATACATGTGCTTCCCCCAAATTAATATGTTGAAGCCCGAATCCCCAGTGTGGCTGCATTTGGAGTAAGAAAGTAATTAAAGTTAAATGAGGTCATAGGGTGGGGCCCTGATCTGATAGGATTAGTAACTTATAAAAAGAGACACAGTTTGTTCTCCATCTCTCTCTCTCTCTCTGTGTGTGTGTGTGTGTGTGTGTGTGTGTGACTCACGCCTTTCTCCTCCTCCTCCCCCTACCATACTCTCTCTATCTCCATTCATGCACTAAGGAAGGGCCATGTGAGGACACTGTAAGAAGGCAACCATCTGTAAGCCAGAAAGAGAGCCCTCACCTGATACCAAATGGGCAGGAACCTTGATCCTAGATTTCTAGCCTTCGGAACTGTGAGGAAATAAACTTCAATTGTTTAACACACCCCATGTATGACATCTTGTGATGGCAGATTGAGCAGATTAACACAGCACCCTATTTAAAATTGAAGGACACAACTCCCTGCACTTTCTGCCTCCCCCTGCACTCCTCCTTCCCTCTGTTCTACTTTTTTTCCTCCATAACTTTATCTTCTTTTAACATATAAATAACTTATTTATTTTTCTTACTGTTTATTCTCTGTCCTTCCCTCCAGAATGTAAGCCCCTTTGAGTACAGGGGTTTTTGTTTTATACAAAACTATTCCACGTTCTGAGAGATGTACTGTGCACATAGTAAATGTTAAATAAATATTTGCTAAATTTACTAATGAACAAATATTTTGATTTTGAAAAACATTAAAAATGTTCATGTTTGAAGATCAGGCATTGAACCAAATAAGAATATAAAAATTATTAATAATTTCTTTTAAGCACAACTACTAATTAAAATTGTAATCAATTTTAAGTTACATGATGATTTATAATTTTACTGCACAAAGTATTACAGTCAAGTGACAAAATAGGTTACCTATCTGTAAAATAGGCAAGTATTAATGCTTCATCTTTTTGTCCTGTATTGGTACTTATGAAATGTTACCAATATGAAAAGAGTTCTTGTGGCTATCCTGCGTGGTGGATTTGAATAAATAGTTATCAGCACTTCATTGTCTGCTAGAATCTCCAGCTAAATTTTAAAAATGAGAAAGCAGCATGTATCTATAAAGTACTTTAGATACACTTTTTTATACATTAAAATACGAATGGTTTGATTTATGAATTTTCACATGGTGACTAATTGGATATGCTTGGGAAAGGAGGCATGAAGATGAATAAAGAATCCTCTTTATTAGGTAATAATGAATCACTGGGTCTTAGAACTCAGTGGGAAAAAAATGTTCTCATAGACCACACGAAAAATTTTTTTAGATTAGATTACCATTTCAAAGCACTGGCCAAATGAGGAAATGACATATAATATATTAATAAACAATATGTAATCCTTTGGGTACATGAATTACAAAAGTGTCACTAAGAGAGGACAAAATGTTCCCTGATTATCAAGTACACTTTCTGATTCACTGTTATGCATGGACCCACAGAGCATTAACAGTACAGAATGATGTCACTTCTCCGAATCCTTTAATAGAAAATGGAATTCTTTTACTTAAAAATATAAACATGATTCTTTTTGTAATAGGCGCAAGTCATTTCTGACTAGACTTAAAATCCTGTGACAAATCACATTAAACTGTTCTGTTTACATAATAAATTATACTACTATAATTTGGCAAATCATAATTCTAAAGCACTAATTTTTCATAAGTATTATCTTCTGACTGAAGTTATCATTATTTAAATTCAGCATATGTATCCAACTTTTTAAGTCCGTTTTTAAGCCTATTCTCTAAGGAGAAGCTTGAATTCAATGAGATGTAAAGCTCATAGTACAATGCCTGGCTCAATACAAAGGTGCACATAAAATGGAAAATCTTTTCCTCCTTCTCCTTTTCCTTCTCCTCCTCCTCCTCCTCCTTCTTTATTATTATTATTATTATTAGAAAAAATGAGTTCTTATAACAGGACTGAAGTATAAGGAGTTCATCTTCTCTTTTGACCCAGTGCTAGTCACATAGGATATTCAAACACAAGGCAAATAATTTACTAAAAGTTACTCAATTCCATAATTCAAGAAATAGAGTTAGATAGGAGGAATAAATGATAAGTGCTTGAGGTGATGGATTTGTTAATTAACTTGATTCAATAATTGCACATGGTATACATATATCATGCCATCACTCTGTTTCCCATAAATATATATTTGCACATGGTATACATATATCATGGCATCACTCTGTTCCCCATAAATATATACATGTGTAATCTGTCAATATTCAATAAAATTTTAAACATATAGATTAAAACACCCTATAGGAATGAACATCATTTTCATCCATACAGACAGGAAAAAATTTAAAAGTAGCTAATAAAGTGTTTGCTAGGGTGTGAGAAAAGTCACATTATTCAGTGTTAAAAAAAATAAAAATAAAAAATATCTTTGCACACAAAAACAACACATGCTTACCTGTGAACACTAACCTCAAGAGCCAAGACAAAGTATGAGAAAAGAGAGCAGCTAGAAATAATTAAAAATATCAAGAAGAGAAAATGGTAAGCAAAGATAGGATGTGGAAGCAGAAACATCACCCATGGTAAAGAACTGGGGGCTACTTGGGGACTTAGTGATTTGCAGATAGTGTGTGCAATGGTTGCAAGTACAGCACTGACTGGGGTCATGCTGCCTGGGTCTGAAAGCAGGTTCTGCTACCACCTTTGGGATGGTTAAAAACCTTGGTGAAGTTACTAAAAACCACAATGCTTCAAATTTCTTACCTAGAAATTGGCGGTATGTAAATAGGAGGTCTTGTTACAGAGTTACAGTGAAGATGCATGAGTTTATATGGAAAACCCTGTAAAGACTTGGTACATAAACAATGACAGGTATTTTTATTAACAAACATTTCATATTTATTCATCCATTTTATTCATCTGGCTTAATCTCCTCGTTAGCTTCTGAAGTGGGTATTAGTATTCTCATTTTAGAAATAAGATTTCAGAACTTAAAAATAATTGGTTAAGTAACTAACCCACAATCTCATGAATTCAATATATAAACTAAGCCTGCCTGAAATATGTCTGTCTTGACTGCATAGTCTGTGAGGTTCACTACCACATTACCACTGTCTCGTTAACAAAATACAACCTTCCTCTGTTCCTCTGGTGACTTTAGGGAAGTAATCCCTTGGATGCAAAAGACACATAGCAACTCCCTATTTCTGAATCTAAGTGAGCACATTGGAACTTTTCATTGTTAGCATAGTAATTAAATGAGAAGTGTTATGACAAAACAAAACAATCACAGAGTGCCTTTGCCATGGGGTTTAAGGTTTCATCATGTTCAGCTTTAATGAGAGCCCTGTAAGGTACAGAAATGGGTGTCTGGTTTTCAAATCACAGGATTCCTCTATAATTAAACCTTGTAATCAAAACATTGCCTACAAGCACTTTCCATAAACTGAAGCGCCTCGGGAAGATTTCTTCAAAAACTTTAAAAGTGTTTTTTTGTGAATTTTGATAATAAAAATGCCAATACTCAATCTTGAGTAAAAACGAAATCAAATAAGTGTCAAGTGTTTATTTAGGATTAAAATAATGCATATGTTATCTTCCCTGTTTATCCCTACAGACTGGAAAGGTTTCCCTAAATGCAAACTGCTCTTCTACAGTCTTGTACTTATCCATCCAGTGAAGCTCTACCTGGCCCCCTCTCACTTGTACTTTCATTAGCCCCTTTCACTAAACTTAAACATTTTTAAGATTATCAGTCGATGGTGATTCTTTTGCCCCTAATTTTAAACTCCAAATAATGATGTCTCTGAGAGGCGTAATTACCACTACAATGGTCTGTGGAAACAGAGCCTTGCAAAAGCTCTTAAATCCTAAAGTTTCAACAGACAGGCAACTTGGCTTAGTGCTCACTGCCTGTGGTGTGCAAAATACCAGTGAATGAATGCTTATCCCCTGGTGGGTGGATGACCTTGATGGGACCTAGACTTCTCTCTCTGTAGTCTGGGATTACATGCATACATATGTCTTCAGCAGGCTTGCTAGGAATGTTTGAGTTCCTAACCTGCCGCAAATGATTCATATATCCCAACACATGACATATTTGAGAGAAAAAAGGACTCAATTACCCTTTCTCATCTTCTGATGACACCAGGGGTATTATATGAATGCACTTTATTATTTGCTTGCCTTCATTCTCACAACCATGAAACCATTCTTACCACTGACCATTGGAGAACTGATAAACTTTGTTTTCTCTTTGAGTTCTTCTAGAGTTTCTTCCCTCGCAAAGTTCTTTTACTAAGAACTCTTGAATCTGTGGCGAGCTTGTCCAACTCGCAGCTCATGGGCTGCATTTGGCCCAGGACAACTTTGGATGTGGGCCAAAAGAAATTCTAAAACTTTCTTTAAACATTAAGATATGGTTGTACAATTTTTTTCTTTCTTTCTTTTTTTTTTTTTGGTTCATCAGCTATTGTTAGTGTTGATGTATTTTATATGTAGCCCAAGACAATTCTTCTTCTTCCAACGTGGCCAGAAAAGCCAAAAGATTGAACGCTCCTGATCTACAGCCTTCTATTAATGTCAAATGGACCAGGACCACTTCTAGGGGATGTTCTTTGTTGCTTGACCTATCAAAGTGACTCTAATCTCCATAGAACCACGGCACTCAATAGTCTGGTAGAAAGCAAATATGACAACAGTAATTGATGGTGTTAAATCCATTAACCAGAGAAATGGCTGGGCTACTTTGCTAGTCATTGAGGAATTCTGCTCCAGTGGTGCATTCTCATTTCACCACAACTAACGATTACAAACCAAGGCCATGGGGTTTAAGGTTTCATCATGTTCAGCTTTAATGAGAGCCCTGTAAGGTACAGAAATGGGTGTCTGGTTTTCAAATCACAGGATTCCTCTATAATTAAACCTTGTAATCAAAACATTGCCTACAAGCACTTTCCATAAACTGAAGCGCCTCGGGAAGATTTCTTCAAAAACTTTAAAAGTGTTTTTTTGTGAATTTTGATAATAAAAATGCCAATACTCAATCTTGAGTAAAAACGAAATCAAATAAGTGTCAAGTGTTTATTTAGGATTAAAATAATGCATATGTTATCTTCCCTGTTTATCCCTACAGACTGGAAAGGTTTCCCTAAATGCAAACTGCTCTTCTACAGTCTTGTACTTATCCATCCAGTGAAGCTCTACCTGGCCCCCTCTCACTTGTACTTTCATTAGCCCCTTTCACTAAACTTAAACATTTTTAAGATTATCAGTCGATGGTGATTCTTTTGCCCCTAATTTTAAACTCCAAATAATGATGTCTCTGAGAGGCGTAATTACCACTACAATGGTCTGTGGAAACAGAGCCTTGCAAAAGCTCTTAAATCCTAAAGTTTCAACAGACAGGCAACTTGGCTTAGTGCTCACTGCCTGTGGTGTGCAAAATACCAGTGAATGAATGCTTATCCCCTGGTGGGTGGATGACCTTGATGGGACCTAGACTTCTCTCTCTGTAGTCTGGGATTACATGCATACATATGTCTTCAGCAGGCTTGCTAGGAATGTTTGAGTTCCTAACCTGCCGCAAATGATTCATATATCCCAACACATGACATATTTGAGAGAAAAAAGGACTCAATTACCCTTTCTCATCTTCTGATGACACCAGGGGTATTATATGAATGCACTTTATTATTTGCTTGCCTTCATTCTCACAACCATGAAACCATTCTTACCACTGACCACTGGAGAACTGATAAACTTTGTTTTCTCTTTGAGTTCTTCTAGAGTTTCTTCCCTTGCAAAGTTCTTTTACTAAGAACTCTTTTGAATCTGTGGCGAGCTTGTCCAACTCGCAGCTCATGGGCTGCATTTGGCCCAGGACAACTTTGGATGTGGGCCAACAGAAATTCTAAAACTTTCTTTAAACATTAAGATATGGTTGTACAATTTTTTTCTTTCTTTCTTTTTTTTTTTTTGGTTCATCAGCTATTGTTAGTGTTGATGTATTTTATATGTAGCCCAAGACAATTCTTCTTCTTCCAACGTGGCCCAGAAAAGCCAAAAGATTGAACGCTCCTGATCTACAGCCTTCTATTAATGTCAAATGGACCAGGACCACTTCTAGGGGATGTTCTTCGTTGCTTGACCTATCAAAGTGACTCTAATCTCTATAGAACCACGGCACTCAATAGTCTGGTAGAAAGCAAATATGACAACAGTAATTGATGGTGTTAAATCCATTAACCAGAGAAATGGCTGGGCTACTTTGCTAGTCATTGAGGAATTCTGCTCCAGTGGTGCATTCTCATTTCACCACAACTAACGATTACAAACCAAGGAAGTTCCTCTGTTTCCACTTGTCACTGTCTTACTCGCTATAAATGACTATCTAAATAGCAGAACTCCATGTGGTCAATCCAGAATAAGCATTGTAGGGTAAAGGCCAATTAACAAAGCTGCTGTATCTCAGGAGAGAGTCCCTGGAAGATCACTCTAAGGAGCAACCTAAAACACTGTCATTATGCCACTGGTCTACAAATAATATACTGAACTCCAAGTAATTTGATAATAGATACATAGGACCCTTCCTTGTCACTATCCCCCAGCAGCCCAATGCCTTTCTATGTATTGTGTCCAGTCTACGTTTCACCAGTCCCTCCTTCCCTAGTCTTGGTAGGATCCTGTGCTATGTCCTTTATTACACATCTTTTACTCACTGTGGACTCCTTCTGTTACCACAGCACACCAAGATTCATACCTAGATGATTGGGGTGGCAGTGGTTATAATTCCAAAGAAGGAATCAGAAACCTGACTGTGTATTCTGCTACATTCCAGGATTAACGGTTGTATTCCACCACCTTGACTGTGAGTGGAAAGAAGAAAGAGAAGACTATTACTGAGGAGCTCCTTGAGATTACCTGTAGTGCTGGATGAGGCCATCATTGGGCAGAGAGAAGCCATTTAGCAGAATCTAAGGAATCATGCTCCTGTGCACTGTGGTTCCTGATCCTTGGGGCTTCCCCCTTTTACGGCTTTTCTTTCTCATTTCTATTACCCTGAATGTCTAAACTTTGCCTCTCAGATAACTGACTGGACATGTTGCCTTCCCATGAAAAATCTGTATGAAACCAGTAAGCTGATGAAAGAGAACATCATACAACACAGCAAGGCTAGCTCCTTTCAGCACTGCTCCTATAAAATATTATCTCCTAAGACACATGAGTTATCTGTCTTGTCTAGGTCTTTTACCTTCCACTGGCAAATGCACCAGGATCACTACTTAGCTGGAGTAA